CCCCAAAACCCCAAAACCCCATGAAGTTCAATTTGTTATAATTAAAGGATTCTGTGATCAAATAAATAAGTAAATGACGTGTATTTTAAATATGCCCTAACTATAAATTAGAGGCAATAGCTTTGTATTTAAATCTAAATTAATAAAAATACTCATAAACTCTCAACTACTATCTTCCTTAAATCTTCAATTTAAATCACAAATATCAAGTAAAATGGGAAACACGACATCATATCTAGAAAAATTCAACAAAAAAATCGTAATCCTTGGTGGAGGCATTGAGGGATTAATCTTTGCTAATGTTTTGAGCAATTTATTTGACGTCGTCTTCATCGATTCAAAATATAACATGAAATATTTAAGAGATACATTAGCTTATTAGTTGCCTGAAAACCTTATTTAAACTTACACATTGCTGCTTTCATCTTAAAATGGTCACTTCAAACTCATTGAGTGTGAGAGCATTAAAAGTTTAGATACAGAAAATAAAATAGAACTTTTAAACTTGAAAGAAGAGTCAACAATCACTTTATAATATGATTATCTAATTATAGGCTCAGTAATGAAGAAATAAAATAACACAATATAAGATGGAGTGATCGAATCATAGTAAAACTCTATTGTTTATTAGGATTTGAATGATTAACAAGGAATCTTAAAACTCTTACCATCTAAATCAAATATTCTGATAAGAGGAGACTGTTTAGTTTCGGCAGAGTTAATCGGAGACTTTTTGAGCTTTTTTTAAGGAAAAAATTTCAGTTATTTACTAGATAAATCTTCTAACTTGTAAGATTATGAGCTAGAAAGCTTATCAGTATTACATCAAAATTTGAGACAGAGAGGCTTGAATTTTGTTGAGTCGGAGGAAATTTCAGAGTCTGAATATGACTTGGTCATTGATTGCAAGAAGAGGCTATTGGATACTGAGTTTTTAGCTACAAATTTTAGCAGCTGCCTCGATAGTAAGAAACATATTAAAGTTCAAGATACAATGCAAATAGAACTCAATCTAAAGAATCCTAAGCTAAATAAAATGCAAAATATTTTCGCTTTTGGTGAATCAACGTCAAGACTAGAAAAATCTAAGCTTATTAGCTATGATTAAATAATACAATAGATCTCAGTAATCTTCAAAAACTTGATTTAACTTGCCTAAGGATAATTTCCTACTTCTAAGATAGACACACACTAGCCTTTCATTTATGTAATTACTCTTGGAAGTGAAGAAGGTTTAGTAAATATCCGAGGCTTCTCTTTTATTGATCCTAAAGCTGTCTCTTACAAGAAATAGCTCTTAAGGGCTCATTATCAAAATTTGCATCAACTCAAGTTACAAAATACTCCTTCAACAATTAGTGGTAAGAAAAGAGTTGTTCTAGCAAAAGCTGTTTAAAAGCTTAACTATTCTTTAGTTAACTTCATTCAATCATGAATATTCCCTCTTTTGAAGAGTAGAGTAGAATTTTGAAGTTAAGCACAAGAGAAGATTTTTGACTTGATATGTCAGCTCTAAGCCATTAGATTTGCTTATCTTGAGGCAAAAATACTTCCTTCTTGATAACATCGAATATTTCAATCTATATTTTATCATTAAATTTATATTAAAACTTAAATTCATAATAAAAATACTACTCTTTTCTCTCAAATAGCTTAGTGGGGTTTTGGGGTTTTGGGGTTTTGGGG